TTGCAATCTCCACTCGTAACATGCGATTTTGATTTTTGATCAAGTAAATTCTTCTGTGTCTGTAATCTGCACAAGCGTTTATTCCTAGCCCTGTTTTCTCACATTTCTGTGATCGCAAAAAAAGAAATTCCGACTACCTGAAATGAGTTCTCAATATGAATGAGTGCAATAAGTAAATGATAAGCGAATAGTTCACATAGGGATATGATAGACGATAGCCTGAAAACATAATAAAAAGTATGGCTGATCTGAGAAATTGCATAATTCTTCATTGACAGGCCTCTTCGGCAGTTCGCCAAAAAACTTTGTTTGACGGCTGCCAACGCTACCAATAGTTCCATAACATACTATGTGAGGAAGTGCTTTCAGTTTTTTACCAGAATTCATATAACAGTAACAGTGGAAGATTGGATTACGGTGGACCTGTGCTAAAATCTCACCGAAAAGCTGTAGATAATCAGCAGCACGGTTTGTGATACTTTCAATAAAAAGCAATGATACCATAACAGCATAGGAAACCATAGCAATCATCGTAAGCAGGAGCGCATGGCGTCGCTCCGTGAAAAAATCCGAGCGCCGCGCTATTTGAAGCGACTGATACACATTATAGAGATCCTGCAACACATACCCTAGATTGCTCTAAAGACAAGCTGGGATTGTTGCCATAAGAAATAAGAAGTAAAAGAGGGGAGGTTGCAAAAGGCAAATGTTACAAAACATTTAATAAGTAAAACCCAGGCTGGAAAGCACCAGGCTTGCCAGTGCGATCATGTGTTTTTTGCACTAAACTTGCAGATCGCTAATATCACGAATGATCCATGCGCTGTACCCTAACCCCACTTTTTTCCGTCAAAGAAATTTGCATATTTTTTCGGAGGCTCATACGCGAGGCCTAGTCGTGCGTTTGAGCGGAAATTTTAAAATGGAAGGATGACACATTGGGTAGGAACATATACCTGAAACTTCAGTCTTCCAGTTTTCCTGGTTGCTGAGATGAAAGTGGCTGGCAAAGTTCACTCGCTTCCAAATACACACACACACAGACGCCCTCTCGACAACATATTTTTTGCTCGCTGTTGCAGCGGTATGGCGCTACACAGCAAAAACGCATAAAAAGGAACAAAAGACAAAAAGTTGCACGCTTTAGTGCAATACGTGCTAGGAGGAGAAGCTTGACCGACTAAGAGACAACAGATGAACAAAGCGAACAATCGAATGGTACCTCTGACGTGTCAAAAGGACAGCCAGAAGAGGATTTGGGCTGAGCAGCTAATTCGAATTTGTGGTGTGATGAAGAGATCCCAAACCCAAAGACGATGATATACATTGTTGTCGGCTACGCTACTGGAGAACGTTACGAGTGTAAATCAGTATTCGTTTAAAGCATTCAAATGTCTGAGTAAATACCCAGGCTGGAACGCACCAGGCGGGCCGGTGCGATTATGCGTTTTTGCACTTTTCGTAC